ACCCCCAAAGTCCAAAATGAAATGTTTGTTGCCTGGTTTAAGAACCCTGTATGGCCCGTCATATGGTGGACGCAGCGGAGTCCTATGGGCATCGTGCCTGACGAAAACAAAACGAGCAGAGTCCAACGAACTTGGAACAAAAGTGTCAGGCAGGCAGTGGTGCACAGGACCAGGAACAGAAAATGAGTCTCTTGGGGGGCGAAAAGGCAACAAAGAGGTATCGAAACATGGGGGAGGGCTCTCAGGTAAGAATTCCCCGGGGACCCGGAGGGGCTGGCCGAGGACCAGTTCAGCCGGGGAAACCCCGAGGTCTTCTTTAACTGCGCTACGCAATCCCAGCAAAACCCACGGAAGACGGTCGACCCAGTCGCCACCTGTTAAGGAAGCCCAGAACGCGGCCTTAAGTGACCGGTGAAACCGTTCGCACATCCCGTTAGCTTGCTGGTGGTATGCTGTGGTGCGGTGGACCTTGACCCCCAGGCCGTCAGCCATAGCAGACCAAAGCTCAGAAACAAACTGGGGGCCCCTGTCCGAGGTAATGTCAGCAGGGGGACCCAAACGTGAAACCCACATTGACAAAAATGCCCTGGCCACCGTCACCGCTGTCGTGGACGCCAGGGGTACCGCCTCCGGCCACCCGGTCGTGCGGTCCACCACAGTCAAAAGGTGCGTGAAACCCTGTGACTGCGGCAAGGGACCAACCAGGTCCACATGAACGTGATCGAAACGCCTACCCGGGACACGGAAAGGTTCGAGGAGTGCCTGTGTGTGCCGGTGGATTTTTGAGCGTTGGCATGGGATACAAACTGCCGCCCATTCTTTCACCGTCTTGCGAAGGCCCGGCCAAACGAACCTGGCGCTGACCAGCTTGACCGAGGCCCGGACGCCGGGATGAGAGAGGGCATGCACCAAGTCAAAAACACGACGACGCCACGAAAGGGGAACCACCGGGCGGGGGCGGCCGGTGGAAACGTCGCAAAGAAGGTGCGGACCGCCGTCCCACACCGGGGTGTCCTCCAGCACAAGGCCCGTTTTTGTTGACTGAAGGGCAAGGACGTCCGGGTCAGCACGTTGCTCGGCGGCCATGGCAGCATAGTCGACGCCGACATACACTGGAGAAACCAACACACGTGAGAGACAGTCAGCGACGTGATTGGACTTACCAGCCACATGCTGAATGTCTGTGGTAAACTCTGAAATGGCCGCCAACTAGCGCTGCTGGCGTGCGCTCCATGGGTCAGAGACCTTGGACATCGCAAACGTCAAAGGTTTGTGGTCAACGTACGCAGTAAAGTTGCGACCCTCGAGGAAAAAACGAAAATGTCGTGTCCCGAGGTGCAGGGCCAGCAACTCCCTGTCAAAAACACTGTACTTGCGTTCAGCATCCCGGAGCGTACGACTGAAAAAGGCGAGCGGTTGCCAGAGACCTGAAACCCGCTGTTCCAACACCCCACCCACTGCCACGTCGGACGCGTCGGTAGTCAACGCAATCTCCACCGACGGAAACGGGTGTGCCAGCAGGGCGGCGTCAGCCAGCGCAGACTTGGCTGTGGAAAACGCATGGACACGTTCCGGCAGCCAGTCAACCGGATCTTTGGCTGTTTTACCTTTTAAGGCAGCATAGAGTGGCTGTAGCAGGTGGGCAGCTCTGGGGAGAAAGGGGTTGTAAAAATTTATCATCCCCAAGAACTCCTGCAACGCTTTAACCGACGTGGGACGCGGAAAAGCCGAAACGGCCTGGACTCTGTCGGGCAACGGAACCACACCTTCAGCGGAAATGCGGTGCCCGAGGAAATCCAGAACCGGCAACCCAAATTGGCACTTGGAAGGGTTGATGATCAGGCCGTGCGCTGCCAAACGCTGGAAAACCTGGCGCAGATGGGACTCGTGGTGGCTCGCTGAGCAACTGGCCACCAATATATCGTCCAGATAAACAAAAACGAACGGCAGTCCACGCAAAACGGAGTCCATCAGCCGCTGAAAGGTCTGGGCGGCACCTTTCAGGCCAAACAGCATGCGCAAAAACTCGAACAAGCCGAAGGGGGTAATGACAGCGGTTTTAGGAATGTCTTCGGCGCGCACGGGAACTTGGTGATACCCCCGCACCAAGTCAATTTTAGAAAAAATTGACGTTCCGGCGAGATTGGCAGAAAAATCCTGAATGTGGGGGATGGGGTAACGGTCATTCTCCATGGCATTATTTAAATGGCGGAAATCTCCACATGGCCGCCACCGACCGTCCGATTTGGGCACCACATGAAGCGGAGAGGCCCATGCACTGTTCGAACGCTGTACAATGCCAAGCTGCTCCATGGCTGCAAACTCTTCCCGAGCGACGGACAGTTTCGCGGGGTCGAGGCGGCGCGCGCGCGCGAACACCGGGGGCCCGACCATGGGAATATAATGCTCAACCCCATGCTTCGTTACCGTGCTAGAGAAATTAGGGACAGACAGCGATGGAAACTCTAAAAGCAAACGCTGAAAAGCATCCCCGGAGGTCACTACATTAGCCCGAATCAGGGGCTCGGCGGCCCGAGTAAAACAGGGTAGCGAAGAAAACGAGAGAGCATCAATTAAACGTCTGTTAGCAACATCGACAAGCAGTCCATGAGCACACAGAAAATCAGCACCTAAAATAGGTACAGAGCTAGCGCAAACAACAAAGTTCCACTGGAAATCCCGGCCATGAAAACAAACAGTCACCAACCTTTCCCCAAACATTTTGATGGGAGAGCCATTAGCTGCAATGAGCTGCGGCCCACAGTTCGCTGCTAGTCCGTCGGCAGCGCTAGGGGGAAGGAGGCTCTTCAGGGAGCCGGAGTCCACTAGAAAACGTCTCCCGGAGCGCGAGTCCTCTATGAAGAGCAGCCTTTCTGTATTGCCAGCGGTCGCGGCTGCTACGGCGCGCTGGCGGGTCCGTTTCCCTGGGCCGTGAAAGCGCAAGGCGGCAGGCAGCAACGCCACCCAAGCCTGACAGGTTGAGGAGCTTTTCGGCTAGTGCCGAAGAAGCAGCTCTTTAATGGCGGCGAAAGAAGCTGAATGGCTGGATGTCATAATGACAATAGTTACCATAGAAAAACCCATTGGTGAGTTTAGACCCTTTGGGTACTCAAGTGGCCCTAAATTATATCAGAGCACCCCTAAAAATAACTATTAATAGTATTAATTACATTTTCCTAACTTTTCTACTGACGACAGCACAGGACAGAATGAAAACATGTTTTCTGTCCAGGGTTGTTGATGTCATGATGTTACAGTGCGTTCACACAGAGGCGTTGCTGTTTCAACAGCGTGTTTTGTCATTAAAAGCCTAAATAAGACTTTTGTTGCTGCAGCAAGAAAAAGATAAAGAGATAATTTCATGACACAAATCAGTGATGCAGATTTAAAACACACTGTAACTGAAATATAGCAAAAGTTCAAACTTCTGATAATGCAGGGACATTCCTGTGACTAATAAAGTGCCTGCTTATTTTTATTTGTTCTCTAAAAGTGTCAGAAACGTTAGCTAATTTAGCTGAAATAACTAAAGATTATCAGCTAATTTTAACCTTCTGATCCACTAGTCTGCTGGTATGTTGTGAGTTGCCAACCAACGAATGTATGAATTCAAGAACTTTAATATAAAACAACTCTATTAACCTTGCCTCGTGTACAGGTCGTTTTCCAGTGTCTGCATTGAATATACTGAATAATGCTACTTTAAGTGCTTGATGATTTGGTGAACTGCCTCTGTGATTAAGACATTGAAATAATGTTGTGCATATTTCTCATCTTATCATCTTCTTCTATCATCTTATCTATCATGTTTAACTTCTTTAATGACTGAGTCTTTGCCTGGAATTTGATAACTAAAGGCTCCAACCTAAAACAGGTGGATCAGATTCAAATCTCTGATAATTCACCCTAAATTATTCTTAGAAAGTAACTACAATTGGTCATCCAACTAATTAGGTTGCTTTTGAAGGTAACATAGCATTTTTTTATTCAGCTGAACTGAGGTTTGCAAATGTTAATAGGGTTGATTACATTTGTAAACAGCGTATTCCTTTAATATTTATTACAAGGCACTGTATGCATGACATGATAACTGGTAGCTGAGCAGCCGTAAAAGTTTGAACCTAGAACTGCCCCAGGTAATACCCATACATAGAATTAAAATAAATTGCTCAATCTTACCTGTGAAAGATAATCCCATATGATCTGGTTTTGACTGTAAAACAACTCCATGCAGCACAAGAATGAGTCATGTCTGTCTCCTCAGCAGTGCTGCAAACCTCATGAAATATCCTTCCTGCCCTCTTGCTGACAATTGATAAGTTCATTTCATAGCAGCTCGATTTAGCAAATAAACAAGTTTCCGTGATGAGTTTCATGTTGCTAACCAGCTTGGCCAAAATGTGTGATGTAGAGAAGATCGAGTTTGAAAATGCATTAGCAAGGAAAGCTGTGAGAATTATGGAGAGGGGATGGCAACTCTGACCATTTCTGGTCTAATAAAACAAGCAAGTTGACCTGTTGCAAACTGTATCTTTTAATCACCCCTGTAGATGACTGTTAACCATGTCACATGCTGGTCTAATGCTGAACATTAAACATAATATAAATTATTTTTTAAAAAAACATTTAACATTGATAGAGGACATTTTTCTGCAGAATAATATTTTTACTTTGATACTTTGTGCACAATTTTACAATTATATAATTTTATGTTTGGTGAGGTGTTTTCATAGTGTTTTATTGCTTCTTTTTGTAAAGGATTGGTTTGCCAAAAAGCATCGTCACAACAAATAAATAATCGATCACACACAAATTTCCTTATTTTTTTGTGCTAACTTGTAGCTGCTGCATGCTGGGTGTGCTATGTTTTTATGCTTTGTGGTCGTCTCTGTGTAGCCAGAAGATTAGCTATGTTGTTAAGTCTGTCCATCACTCAGGTCTCCTGCCTTGGGCCTGCAGATTACAGGGAAATGCCACACATCTGTCTGTTGTCACTGCTAGAATATTTCTTTTACAATTTTCTTTACATTTTTAAAATTTTAGTTAGATATTTTTCTATATTTGCTTATTTTCCAGTCTTAATAGTGTTCATAAAGAGACTAGCAAGAACAATATTAAAGAGCTGTTTTGATAAACAGTGCACAAATACTGTGATAAAATACTGATGATTAGCTTTTTAAAGCTGTGGAAGTAGTATCTAATCCTAGATTCCTTTATGGGAGCATTAAATTGTCCAAAATATAGTATCCTATACTTTATATTTATGTTCTATAAGTTGTAACACCACAGTATATGTAGAGTCTATAAAAATAGACTTTTACTGAAAGTACAAATGTTCTGGAGTAAAATATACGTCAAACTCTATATAATTATTGAGTCTTTAAAGTGTGAATGTAATCGGAAGGTTGCCGGTTCGAGCCCGGCTTGAACGGTCTCGGTCGTTGTGTCCTTGGGCAAGACACTTCACCTACTGCCTACTGGTGTTGGCCAGAGGGCCCGGTGGCGCCAGTGTCCGGCAGCCTCGCCTCTGTCAGTACGCCCCAGGGTGGCTGTGGCTACAATGTCGCTTGCCATGTGTGAATGGGTGGATGGGTGGTGGATATGTAAAGCACTTTGGGGTCCTTAGGGACTAGTAAAGCGCTTTATAAATACAGGCCATTTACCATTTAAAGAAAGTTCAGTGAATAAATAAATCAAAAATCAATATGAAATGTGTGTATGTGGTGTGGTCTTATACATAAACCCTGAAAAATCCATTAATACTTCATTTTTGATGCAATTATTTATGTATCCCTGCTCCTAACCTGCTACAGTTTGCATCTTAGCATCTTCATAAACCAGTGCGTGATCTGAAATGACAAAACCGCTATGAAAAGTGCAGAGAGGTTTGAATATGGACAGGGGTGTGAAACACATCTGAGCCACACACACGAGCGAGTGCCATCAGTCATGTAAACAAGTGACACATGCAAAAAATAAATATATAAATAAAAATACACAAAAGCAACGTGATATCAGACTGGCCAACATAACCAGAAGCAGATACACACAAAACAGGTCCGAAGAGTAGATCTGTCAGTATGGGTGGGGAATTGGCAGTAATAATGTTGGGTGAAGTTTGGAATATTATTGTTTGTCAGAAAGCGTCACTGGATTATATTCCAGTGTTTGTTGAGCTGTCTAATTCATCCAGATTTGCTTTCAGCCTTTTCTAATATGAATAAATATATTTCTACAGTCAAATAATGCACAAAGTAAGCACTTTAATGCATAAAAGTCTCCCGAATGCTGTGAAGTCTTGTGAAGTGAAGTATTTGAAGCATAAATGTGACGATTAGAATAATATTTTCACAATATACGATTCCGTTAATTATTTAAAACAACTGTATAGTCCTATAGCGTGTCAAAACCGTTTCTTTTGATTGACAGCTAAACCGAGCAATGGTCACGAGCCATGCAACCCAGCGGACCAATGGGAGTGAAGGTGACGGTTCAGTGGGCTGGGTTTAGAGCAACGATGGCCGCCGCCAGCAGCAGCAGTCTCTACAGTGGCTCCAAATTACTGCTCGGTTTTACATGCAAAGGGAAGAAAATGCCTTTGAAATTTCGCTGGACAATCGCTTTTCTGGTTGTTACTCTAAGCCGGTGTTTTGCCGACGATGACCACGAAATGGAGGAGTTCCTGAAGCGGGAGCATTCCCTTTCCAAGCCTTACCAAGGTACCTGTGGTACAGGAGGGGGACGCGGGCTGAGGGGCGAGGACAGATATTTCCAGAATAATGTACTCACTCATGAACTCGTGCACGCCCTAGCCGCTTTTCTAGGATGAAATCACTCTATTTCTCACGCAACTCGTCTAGTGGCATTGTCATAGTGACATACTCGCTTTATATTTTGTGCTTTCTTATCTTTCATGCGCGTGTCCCCCTCCCACTCACTGACAAAGCACTTTGATCTCAGGCTCAGTGAGATGTGTTTTGCTGTCATTATAATGGGTGCTGATTGTTTTACCAGGTGTGGGCTCCTCAAGCTCCTCCCACTGGGAGCTGATGGGCGATGCCATGGTAACCACCGAGCAGGTGCGCCTGACACCTGACATGCAGAGCAGACAGGGGGCGATATGGAGCCGCATTGTGAGTAAAGGCTGCACTGTGTACAAGTTTGCATACTCCCAGTATACTGCATGAGCAGCAAGTCTGGTGACTGAGTTATTTCCTTGACTTAACTGCTTTAGGTGTTTAAAAAAAAAGTTACAATCACTTTTCATCATCTAACTCGATGCTAAGTGTCGGATGCAGTGGTGTAAAACACGCTCTCTGGAATGGATTCTCTGTCTGGTAATCCGATGGTAATCCGAGTCTGGGTTTGGCTGTTTCCAGGAGAACGGTGATTGTCGGACTGTATTGGGCCAGGTATAAAGGTTGGTGGAGGGGCAATTATGGTGTGGGGTTGTTTTTCAGGAGTTATTTCCAGTGAAAGGAACTCTTAATGCTTCATCATACCAATCCATTTTGAACTATATCATGCTCCCAGCTTTGTGGGAACGTGACTGCACACCAGTGGATAAAGCGAGGTCCATGAAGACGAACGAGTGTGGTCTGGATGAACTTGACTGGCCTGCACAGAGTGCAAAAATC